TAAATCTATCAATTACGCTGAATGTAAATGGACTAAATGCACCAATAAAGAGACAGAGAGTGGCAGATTGGATTAAAAAAACACGATCCGTCTATATGCTGCCTACAAGAGACACACCTTAGACTAAAAGATACAAACAAACTAAAACCCAAAGGATGAAAAAACATATCAAGCAAACAACACTCAAAAAAGAGCAGGAGTGGCAATAGTAATCTCTGACAAAATAGACTTTAAAGTAAAATCCACCACAAAGGACAAGGAAGGACACTCTATAATGATTAAAGGGTCAATACGCTAGGGGAACATAAATATAATAAATATTTACGTACACAACGACAGGGCTCCAAAATACATAAACTCTAACAGCACTGAAGAGAGATAGACAGCTCCACAATAGTAGTAGGAGACTTCAACACACCACTTTTGGTGAAAGACAAGAACATCCAGAAAGAAGCTCAACAAAGACACAGAAGAAGAGCTAAATGCTACAATCAATCAACTTGATCTCACGGACATATACCGAACACTCCAACCAACAGCAGCCAAGTATACTTTCTTTTCCAACGCACATGGAACATTCTCCAGAATAGACCACATATTAGGCCATAAAGCAAGCCTTAACAAAATCCAAAGCATTGAAATACTACAAAGCATCTTTTCTGACCATAAAGCCATAAAAGTAGACATCAACAACAGAAAAAGCAAGGAAAAAAAGCAAACGTGGAAACTGAACAAAACCTTGCTCAAAAACTACTGGGTTATAGAAGAAATTAAGGATGGAATACAGAAATCATAGAATCAAACGAGAATGAAAACACATCCTACCAGAACCTTTGGGGCACAGCAAAAGCAGTGCTCAGAGGTCAGCTTATAGCAATAAACGCACAAATCCAAGAGGAAGAAAGGGCCATAATCAAAACATTAACCCTACAACTGGAACAAGTAGAAAGAGAGCACCAAAAGAAGCCCTCAGGTGCCAGAAGAAAGGAAATAATAAGAACTAGAGCAGAATTCAATGAAATAGAAAACAGAAAAACAACCGCAAGAGTTAACAAGACCAAAACTGGTTCTTTGAAAAGATCAACAAAACTGATAAACCACTGGCCAAACTGACAAAAGAAAAACAGGAGAGGAAGCAGATAAACTGTATAAGAAATGAGATGGGTGATATCACAACCGACCCAACTGAGATTAAAAGAATCATAACAGAATAATATGAAAAACTGTATTCTAACAAATTTGAAAACCTAGAGGAAATGGACAAATTTCTAGAAACTCACTTCCTACTTAAACTAACACAAACAGAGGGAGAACAACTAAATAAACCCATAACAAAAGAAGAGATTGAAAAGGTAATTGAAAAACTCTCAACAACAAAAAAAAAGCCCTGGCCTGGACGGCTTCACTGGAGAATTTCTACCAAACTTTCAGAGAAGGGTTCACACCACTACTACTAAAGGTATTTCAGAGCATAGAAAAGGATAGAATACTCCCAAACTCATTCTATGAAGCCAGCATAACCCTGATACCATAACCAGGTAAAGACACCACAAAAAAAGAAAATTACAGACCAATATCCCTTATGAACATTGATGCAAAAATCCTCAACAAAATTCTAGCCAATAGAATTCAGCAACGTATCAAAAAAATGATTCACCATGATCAAGTGGGATTTATACCAGGTATGCAGGGATGGTTCAACAT